TGATTGCTTAACATTTTGCACCACTCAGGCACTTCATGATTTTTAACAGTATCTCTAATTTACGTTGGCTGGAGGAGTGCATTAATCTGTGTGCTACTGCAGTGAGTGGATTTTTAACATTCATATATATATATATATATATATATATACACACATATATATATATATGTGTATATATATATTTACATTTATTTTATTGTGGTTAAACTAACATAAGCCAAATGCACAAATCTTACAGGTGTGCCTTCACAATTTGTATATGTGTACACCTGTGTAGAAGTTCCTGGGTGGCACAAACAATTAAGTACTCAAATACTAGCTGAAAGACTGATAGTTCAAACACACCCAGTGGCACCTCAGATCTACTTCTGAAAGGTCATGGCCATGAAAACCCTATGGAATGCAGTTGTACTCTGCAACACATGAGTCAGAAAGGACTTTTACACCTGTGTAACCACTACTTAGATCTGCTGTTGTTGTTGTCATGTGCCATTGAGTCAGACCCAACTCATAGTGACCCCTCCTTGGGTTTCTGAGGCAGTATCACTACGGAAGAAGATTGCCCCATCTTCCTTCCTAGGAGTGGCTAGTGGGTTTGAACTGCCAGCCTTCTGGTTAGCAGTCAGATGCCTTAGGCACTACGCTGCCAGAGCTCCCTACTTAGATCTAGCTCTGGTAACCTAAGGCACTCAGGGGCTGGGAGGAGAATCTCGAGCCCTGCACTCTGGACCTAGCTCTGTCACCAAGAGCTGTGTGACCTTGGGCAAGTCATTTCACATCTCTAGGATTGGCTTCCTCACTAGTGGCTGCTTCCGTAATCTCAAAGCCACCTCCAGCTCTGCAATTTCCTAGCTCTTCTTTACGTCCGTCCCCTCCCTGCAGCTGCCCCCTCTTCAGGTAGACCCCAGCCTTTTGTTCTGGGGGTGAAGCGGGGAAGTGAACAAGAAAGCGTTTTGCGAAGGACCAGGCCCAGTCAGCCTCGGAGGCAAGGGCTGCTCACTGGAGAGTCGCGTCCGGGGAAGTCACTGGGCAACCGCGCGGTGACCTCGTTCCCTTCGCGGTCCCGTTCGGCTCGGCCCAGGCAGCTCGGAGCGGAGCAGAGCTAGTGGTAGGCTGTTGGGCAGTGCAGCGCCCCGACGTCCGCCTGGCTTTGGGGGCTGCAGCCCGGAGAGGGGGACTCCTGACAGACACGAGAGCAGCACCCCTCTTTCGCTCCTGAGGGCCACTCTACCCCAGGACGGGCCCAGTGGCCGCCTTGTCACCACCGCCTCCCCTGCCCTCAGGCACGGACCCAGACGCGTGCGCGAAGGCGCTACCTGCAGCTGGCCGGGCCGGACCGGACTGGGAGGGTCGAGCCCGCGATTGGGGGCCGAACCAGACTAGGGCTGTAGACTAGGTCCTCGCCGCCGCTGCCTCCCGGCTCCAGCTTGGGGCTCCGTCCCGCAGCGCCCGTGCTGGAGGTGGCGCCGCTACCGCCGCGCTGCGCTCTGTGCTGCGCTCGGTGCGCCCCGCTCGCTCCTCGGCCGCCAGCTCTGGTGCTGCCGGGACGTGGAGGCGGGGCCGCCGCCCCCACCTGCTCTGCGGGCTCTTGCCAGGGAGCCTCCGCCACGGCCTCGAGCTCAGGGACGTGTCCCAGGCGGGCGGGGTCGCTCTGGAACCCGGAAGGCGGGTCCCAGATGCGGAGCGCGCCTCTCTGGGGCAGAGTCCTAAGTCTGAGCTGCGAGAATACTAGGGCCTAGGGCAAGAACTCCCCAGCTATGAAGGGCTGTTGTGCGGAAGACACTGCTGGCGACATTCCACTCCTACATCAATTTTCCTCCCCCAAATTTTTGAGCCCTTACTATACGCCAGGCAATGTCATAAGCGGTGGGGACTCAAAAACGGAACAAGATAAGCCACTTGCCCTCACGGAGTTCATGGTCAATTATAATTCAGACCCTAGAGGGGTGTGGGCAGAGGTTTCCTGAGAGCCTAGACAAGGGGCAGCAGACTTGGGGGGAGGTCAGGGAAGCCTTCCCAGAGGAATTGATGTCTAAAAGGAGAAGCTAGAGTTAACATGAAGTAGATTGTCCCAGATGAAGCCAAAGGTGAGAGAACAGACTGTTTGAAAACTGAAATAAATTTGAGGAACAGGAAAAATAATATGTGGCCAGAAAATCCCATTGTCACATTATCAGGCTCCTTGAAGGATGCAGAAAGTTCGTGTCTGAGGCTGGTTGTATAAACGTGTGGTGACAATTCTCTAACAATCATGCCCTCATAGGAATAGTGGGGGAGACAAGGGGATACGTAGGGATCCTTAACTTAGTTCTTCCGTGTTTGAGTATCTACTATGAGCCACGCACTTTGCAGGCCTCTGGGGTGTGGAGTTAAGAGTCTGGAATGGTCTGGAATGAAGGAGAGAGACCTGTGCTCAGTGCTATGTAGAGGCTTGTGTAAGGTACATGGGAACCTAGGTAAGGGAGCAGTTAGTTAATGCCAGCAGGCAGGATCTCTTGCTTACATACTGATTGCAACTTGCCTCCAGGTTCAGATTTCAAAGTATGATTCCTAAGCAGCCTTTGGTCAATTTCTTAATTGCTCATGTTTATAGCCTGACATTCTGTAGGCTTATATTTACAGCAAGGATTCATGCTTCACTCGTGGTTTCTTTCACTCTTTTGTTGTCAAGAACAGGGTTTTCTATTTTGAGTTCAGCAAAGAGGGATGTCAGTGGAAGCCAATGAGGTATTTGCTTCCCACCTGTTTGTCCTGTGCCTCTTCCTTCTACCCATTCCTCCTTTAGAGCCATAATAAAATGATCATAAGCATGAAACCTGAGACACTGCTCCAACCTAAAATTCATAAATTGTTTTGCATGGATGGTTGCTACAAAAAAAAAAAAAAAAAATCTGGAACATTATCCAGGCACTCTCCTTCTCTGGACTCCTGCTAAGCAGATCTCATTGAACTCTAGGATTTAATACAAAAGAAAGAAAAGATGAATTAGTAAGCAGCAAAGATAGTTCTGTGAGCCCAGAGAGTTCCTATCAGTTCTTCTGGCAAGTAGTCCAATCATGATCTAGTTGGGTGGAATGGCTTTTATTTATCTTAAGGGGTGGATGCTCTCTGTCTTGGATCAAATATTTCTGTCTTGGATCAAATAATTTTTTTTTTTAATGCCACTATTTGGAAAGGATGGAGGTACGCTGAGTGTGGAAATGATTTGGAACATGGGGACATTTGGAGTTGAAAGCTGCAAAAGGCCTTACATTCATTTGTCCAGATGTCTCATATCCATATGAAGTATTTTTGCCCACAGGGCAGTGGTGTCACTTGAGAGGTGGGGAGACATCAAAAATGATGCCAGGGTGGTATCTGCCTGCCATAGGGGGAGGAGCCACCTTCACTAGGGTTGGTGTCACCTGTCAGCCACTGCGATAACTCATCATCTGCCCCTTCCCACATTACCCAGTGTGGTAACTCATCACCACTGCTTCCACACACGTCTCCTACCCACCCCCCACACACACACCAGTCAGGGTGCAGGCAGGTGGGCCAAGGCACCTGCCATTGGGTAGAGAGGAGGGTCTGCCTTGACCAATGGTAAAGGGGAGGACCTACAGGGAGCCCCAGGAGGAGGTCCAGGAGGGGCTAGGCTTCAAAGCCTTGACTTTCAGCATTGGGGTTGGGGTAGGGTGGGGCTGGGGACAAGCTTCTCCACCCACATGTGGGGGGGACGTTCTACTAGCTGGTCCTTCCCATGGAGGGGGGTGATTTGACCTCATGAGTTACTTCACTGGGTGGGTAAAACGGGCCCTAGTAATGCCATTGTCACAAGGTCTTCTTTCTAGGGACATTAGAGAAAGAGTCAGTCCTATCTAGCTCAACAGGATTTATATAACTACAGGACAGCACTGGCTATTCCTGGTGGATGATACTTTTTAGTGACAGACTCTAAGTTGCCTTCCCAATAGCCAAGCCATTCATTCTTCCTGCTTAACAGACCGCAGAATCATGGTTGGTCCAAGATGACAATCCGATTCCTGATTTCCCAGCCTCTTTTGCAGCTAAGGTAGTCCTTGACCCTGTTCTGGCCAATGAGTTGAAAGAAGGAGTTGGCTGTGGGGTGGGGGAACTTGTGAGAAATCTTTTACTGTCTCTACCCTTCCCTGTCCCATTCTCTTTATGCCTTGTGTGCAAATGAAATGGCTGATGCTGTTGCAACCACTTTGCAATTAGGAGACAATGAACATGAGGTCAAAAAGCTAATATATTTGGGATGGCAGAGTGGAAAACAGGGAGAGTCAGTGTGGTATTGCTGGGCACTTGAAGCAAAGCCAACAACTGCCCATCTCTTGACTTTCCATTATGTGAGAAAAATAAGCCACTGAGGTTGGGTTTTCTATTGATCCAATAACCTGCTAAAAGGCAAAAATCTCCCCTCTTCTACCACTCACGGAACAAATGTTCACAATAGTTCTTCTTTCCCGTCTTCTACTTGTAAACATACTTACAGTTGTTTTATAACATTTTGGGGTCTTCAGGAGAAAGGCACTATAGAGATCTTAAATGTCTGTACTTGTGTTTGCTTCAGTGTCACAAATATTTATAGAGAAGCTATTATATGTGATATTGCACAGTGTTGGTGGTGCAAAGATGAATTCACAGCCCTTCCCCAGGGAGCTAACAGTTTACTTGAGGACACAGCTTGTAAAGAGAGTACAGCAGTTCAGTATAAGTGGAGTTTGTCCAGATAGAGATGGAATAAAGATTAACTCTATCTGATGTGGAAAAGGAGGAAGGCAGTAATACCTGGGCTTTTATGGATAAATGGGAGTTTTTTTCTGTCATAGACTGAAGGAGAGGAGGACATTTCAAGGAGAAGAAAGTCTGAAAGAGCTTGCTGGTCCAGGAGCCTCAAATTCCACGGGTCTGAAACCGAATTCATGGTCTTCCTCCAAAATTGCTTATCTGCCCACCCATCCAGTTGGACCACCCAGGAACCTTGGGAGCTCCCTTTCCCTCATCACCCCTTCCTGCAATTAACTTTGCATCTTGAATCTGTCTAATTTTACCCATCTGTACCACCACCAAGGAGCTCTGGTGGTATAGTGGGTAAGACATTTGGCTGCTAGCCAGAAGGTCAGTGGTTCAAACCCATCAACTGCTCTGCGGGAGGAAGATAATATGAACAAACTACTTCTGTAAAGATTTACACTCTTGGAAACCCAATGGGGGGTCAGTGAGTGTTTTGTTTGTTTTTTTGTTTGTTTGTACCACCTCTACCTGAGACCACAGCCTGTCATCTCGCCAAGATTTCCACAGTAACCTTCTTATCCGGTCCCTCTGAAACATGCGGTTTTCTCTTCAAACCACTCTACACTGTGACAGAGAAATCTTCTTGAAATCAAAGCCCATCTTATTTACTACCATAATCTAAAGTTCAGTGACTTCCCTTTGTTCTCATGATTACAAGATCTTGACTTTGTATTAAAATCTTCACAAGTCTGGTCCCTGCCCCTCTCTCCAGCATATCTTACTCAGCTCTCCCCTCCTTCTATTTCTGTACTCCAACCATGTTGGCCTTCTTTCATATCCTTAATAGGTAATATTCTTTCTTGTTTCAGGCCTTGCCCATCCTCTTCCATCTTCATAGAAAACCACCCCTGCCTTGACCACCTTTCCCCCACACACATGCATTCACAGAGTTAACTCCTCTTCATTCTTCAAATCTCAACAAAACTCAGTCATCACTTATCTGGATCTCAAGGATGTCAGCTTCTCCTATTATAAACTCTCACAACCTCGGGTACCTTTCTTTTGTAACATTTATTACCATTGCTTTTATCTGTTTGATGACTAGAGATTGATAGATGTCCCCCAAACTAGACTGTGGTATCCATGTCCTCGGAACAATGTTTCGTTTTGTCTACTAGTGTACAAGCACTTAACTCACAGAACAGAGGTAGGCACTCAATACGTATTTGTTGAGTTACAGAAGAAACGAACAAACAAAGGTTGGAGGCTAGAGTTATATATTTGAAAACTACATAGTTTTTTTTTAACTTTTAATATCAACTTTATTGAAGGATAAATTACATAGAATAAAATGCACTCATTTAAAGTGCACAGCTTAATGAATGCTGGCAAATGTATAATATTAGGTAACCACCACCCTTATCAAGATACAGAGTATTTCCGTCATCCCAAAAAATTCCCTTGGGCCCCTTTGTAGTCAGTTCCTACCCCTAGTCCTAGACAACCACATATCTGCTTCCAGTGACTATAGATTATTTTGGTCTTTTCTAGAGTTCTGGTGGCATAGTGGGCAAGGCATTTGGCTGGTAACCAAGGTCGGTGGTTCAAATCCACCAGCTGTCCCTTGGGAGGCAAATGAGGCCCAGTCCATGGAAGATATAGGCCTTTATTGAACAAAGACAACCTTGGAAACCCAGTATGGGTCACTATGAGTAGGAATTAACTGGATGGCAGTGGATTTGGTTTAACCAAAAAAAAAAAAAAAACCCTAAACTCACTGCCATCTACCCGCTGCTGTCGAGTCAGATCTGACTCATAGAGACCCCCCCCTTGGGTTTCCAAGGTGGTATTTCTACAGAAGTAGATTGCCCCTTCTTCCTTCAAGGAGTGGCTGGTGAGTTTGAACTGCCAGCCTTCTGGTTAGCAGTCAAATGCCTTGGACACTACCCAACCAGAGCTCCTTTTCTTTTTTGGTTTAGAGTTCAAATATATGAAATTATGCATTATGTACTCGTGTCTGACTTCTTTTGCTTAGCGTAATGTATTTGAGATTCATCAATGCTATTATGAGGAGCTCTGGTGGTACAGTGCCTAAGGTATTTGACTGCTGACGAGAAGGCTGGCTGTGAAGGCGGGACAATCTACTTCTGTAAAGATTTATTGCCTCTGAAACCCAAC